TCTAGACATCTTTAGTGAACGGATATCATTCAAGAATTAGATTTTTTTTAATTAACACAGTATTTAACAGAAGTTGTTTATGTAATATTGGGTAAGGAAGTGTATACATTCTGGGTAATGTTTAAGTGAACAAAAAATAACCAAGTCATGCAAACGAAATTACTTAATCTGCCAGGTATTTGGTGAACTGATGCGAATACGTAAAATACTTTAAATAAAACACTTTGTCAACGTCCTCAACTGCAAAACGTTAGTAAAGAAAGTTCCACACAAAAATCAAAATGCTTGACTCGTTATCCACCCCACAACAAGCACATCTTGATCACATGATTACAACATGAAGATAATCAGTCAATAAGCATTCCAAAACATATTACATTACAAACGAATTCCAAGCTTTCTGAAATAAAAATGTGTGTGAACCAATATGGAGATAATTAGAATAGGAGTTTATTTAGATTGCAGAGATTTATAGTTTACATAACATGATACTAGCTGCATAAATCTTTAGAATAAGGAACCGTGGGGCGGCTGTTTCGATCTAGAATGGAACTACCCGTCAGGGAGTATTCACGACCCCACCGAGGACTGAACTCAAGACCCCCAGATCTGAAGGCAAACGCCCAACATCAGACTACTGAGTCTGGATTCAGAAGTATACATCACCGGCTATAATCGAACCTTGATATTACGCGAACACCTTACAATGTCATCGGTGGATAAATGTCAGACACCCTACAAGGTTGAATTAAATATCTCACTAGAACACGGAGAATAATCTGTCGCAATCAGCCACTAGTGATGAACGAAGACTTAATAGTATAAAGCTTTAAGCTGAACACTAAGCCCGTAGGCCCTCAGTTCGATCTAAAGTGAGATGGTGGGTGCCCGCTTCTGAGGAGCCCCGTACCATCATAAAACAGCTGTCCGGTGCTTGATGGTTTCACTGGTTATCTAGATGAGGTCAGTCAGTTATGTAAAAAATGTGAAATAGTTTACACTACAAATTAGCTTTAGCTACATTACTGTTGAACCAATTCTTTCTTCCTGTATTATATCCTTATACACAATCTTTCTTTTATATATTACTACCATTGGAGTAACTACTATGAATTTGGTGTTCATCTTGTTGTGCTAATGAGGTATAGCAACTTGGACCGATGCACGTATGTGCCTGGTCTTACGTTGTAGCTGACTGACTGACACTACTTCTGAAAACCAGAAAACACATGATGTCTAGGACGAAAGAGTTTCTTTCTCCGATCTTCAACGGTTGTCTAGCTAAGCCAGTTTATGGTGTTAACTACCATTAAAGTCTTCACAATCCCTCGATCCTAATGAAAAGACAATATATTGGATATGGAGAATAAATTCGTAATTCATTATTGCTTGATATCTGTAGTTTGTAAAGAACCTATGATTGATTAATGAAATGTGTTGAGCCTATAACAAACAAATGATCACCATTGCTGTCCTAAGTATTTCATATACGTCAGGAAAAAAATGGGAATCATGTAAGCTGGTGAACTGCTAGAATGAAACGATGGAGAGAGGTGGTTGTATGCTTTCACTCTATCTGATGTGTTTGTATACAGAGCTTGCAGTAAGTATGGCGTAACGCCGGAATTTCATAGAGGGTGAAAATTATAACCAATAAATAAACAACCAGGACGAAAGCCGGTCTGCTTCTCGCAAGTCAGTCTTTTATATGTTTCAGTGTGAGTTATAACGGAAACCAATAGTTCTGAATCGATTGAAAGTAAACTTATTCTGGATCTTTGTAGAATAGATGACTTAAACCCAGTTTAAGGACTAGGACTACTGTCGCTTGATTTTAGGATGGCAGAACACTCTCTACTTCGTAAATCTTTCCAAACAATCTAGTTGGTTCCCTGAACAAGAAGCTCGCCAGAGTGAGTCGTTCGGACCTGACGATTTGTGACGCTCCGGAAGTTGGGATTCCTAGGCGGCCACCTCTCCGTCAGGTGGGTCAGTTTTCACTGGTCATGATGGGCAGGCAAACCTGGTGGACGGCCAAAATGTCGTTCGAAAAAACTCTGCGCACTGTCCAAGGTCTCGTTAAATATTATATATCGACTCCCTAGATTGCTTCACTCACGTCAAGCTTCTTCCCCCCCCCAACGACTCGGATCAATTGAAGGAGCTTTTGACAGATACCAGATGCAGATGCTGCTTCCAAACTAGCTAGCATGCTCCACCTAGGTGTCTTTCCCTATCGCTTAGTTTACCTACTTGAGCATAAAAGTCACCGGCCACTATGACTACATCAGAGCGCCTAGCTTTTCGGAGAAGGTCGGAAAGCTTTCTGTAAAACTCATCTTTTACATCATCTGAGCTGCAGTCAGTGGGAGAATAGGTAGAAACGACGAAGAGGCAACGACGAGTGTCCCTATCTTTCCGGATTCTTACTGTTCCGTTCAGTCGGACAGCGCACAAACGGCTGTCTACTGGGATCCACTCTAAGAGAGCTAGTTCTGCCCTAGGACTCAATGCTATACCTACGCCGGCAAGGCCACGGGAAGCAGAATCAGGGCTTCCAGATACACGAAGTGTAAATCGAGTCGGTTCTTTATTTTGGCATGGTGAGGTTAAATGAATGACGCTACTCGGATCTTGTATGCGCGTTTCGGAGACGCAGCACACATCGATGGCGCGAGATTCTAAAGTCCTAGCTAAGGAAGCCTGCTGTCCTATTTGGCACAGTGTTCGTACGTTAAAAGCTCCTACGTGTAGTTTAGAGCGTGGTTTCAGGAGACCAGGAATAACGTTCCGCGTACTCGGATCGTTCGCCCTAGCGGTGCGAGGTGATAAAGAGACGTGAGGAGGGCTAGCGGTGGAGATGATAGAGTTATTAGGAGGTGTAGGAAGGATTTGAATGTGACTAACTTGGTCTCGTGTGCTGTTACGGGTATGAGGGCTGGTGTCATTTCCCGGCTGCCCACACCGTGGAAGGGTATTTCTTGAGGAACATGAAAAGGAAATTGGATTAATGTTGGCCTTAACTACCGCAGAGCCCAAGGGACAGCTGCTTGAGGCCGGTCGCGCACGGCCTTTTCGTGGAAGGTTTTTAATGTGTTAGCTCCGTTCTTCAAAGGGCTTTACCGCCGGAGACGGAAATCCGTGAGGTAAGGTGAGGTGTGACATTTTTAGGGTCGACCTTTTCTAACCCCACCCCTCCTTGTGGGAAGGCAGCATCACTGTAGATGCTGGTTGTCCGAGGGAAACACCTTACTGCTGTCACAGCCCTCTACAGTCAGCAGTACGACTTTGCCCTCAGACCTTGAGTTGCTGCTTTTAGTCTTACCGTTCACCAATCGACCTGCCTGGCATGGTAGAACCTACAGGAACATATGTTCCAGCCAATATAGCTCCGTTGGGTCATCACGATAGCCAAGCCCGACCACCGCGTCAAGGTAGCAGCTTCGGTCGGGAATTGGTGTTGATCTACACCTTGTGTGAGGGCCAATGATTCTCTCTGGTTGCTCAAATCGCTTTAAGTGATAGTTTTAACCAGCAGCCTACTAGCTGAAAGGTAAGTGCTTAGTTAGTAAATGACAAATCAGAATTATATGCGATGATGTAGACTTTTTCTCAGAATTATGAGTATGTAGCAACATGATACACGACTACACAATAACTTATGTTATAGATAAGACAATCTGTAGTTTTGAATGATACATCCACACCAATAAAATCTACAGAAGTGTGAAAATTCATATTACTGTGGTTAAAATCAAAACAACATAAAAATAACTCGAGTCAATGATGCTAAGGAAAACTAAAAGTTAAACGCCCTACATAAAATAAATGCTGATTAAGTGGAATATACTCTCAGGATATTTTATCAACAGACTTTAACAGAAGATATATAGAAATCAGTTTTGAGTATTCGTGTTGCGGTCATTTTGGTTCACAATATGAAAACAGTTCGACAAAACTATTTATTGAAGCCATATTTCAACTGAGATTTTTATCGAAATAAATAGTCACGTTGAAGCATATGGAATACTGAAACTCGTTACTTTAAAATTAAAACAAAAGTGCAGCAATCGTTCAGTTGTCACAGGAACCATATAGTATGACCCGAACTAGTCAATTTTTAGCGCACAACAAAACTTGATGTTGTTTTTATGTGTTGTGTGGTTCTGTATAGTTACTTTACCGCGTTATCATAAGATGTTGTGACGATGACAAACCAAGAAAAGGACTAATTCTCAGATCCACAACTTTCAACCACCTAATGCAGACAGTACTTTGGTTACCGTTCTCGTCAACGATTAAAGTTTATTGCCTGTAGACTTCGTGAAGTTTAAAGCCATTGTCCAAAAAGGGTCCAGTTACTATAACATAGTATCAGCCTTCAGTGTGTTAATGATTTAGAGTTAAACGAGCGGTATATTAGTCCCTAAGGATGTTTCTGTGGCTGAAGGAAGAGTTAACAGTTGTGAGGGTGTTATATCTTTTCATTACCTTGCACATGACATCCCGCTAGTCGGGATCCCACAGCAACCGAAAGTACACTCAGAAATCGAGATGACCCACAATTAAACTATATCCCACAGTCGTTATTAGAAACGTCAATGATCGATACACAACAATATAGACGGCGGTATCAGAAGTGGTGAGTGCACTTTCTTGTATTAAGTATTTAAGCTATACAAAATATAACGTTAGGAAATACCTAACCAACTAGCTACAACCATGATAATAGGAGCGACATACTGTTTATATTCCACTTACTGGTGGGTGATGGGTAGAAAGCGTACAATAAAGTCAAGAGACAGTTACACAGTATATTTTATCAACTTCAGTTCCCATCAAAATTTTGTACAAATAACCATTTGAACACATAATGCCAGATATTTAAGACATTAATACACAAAAGCGTACCTGAAAGATGTATGACGGTTGAGGTTTGGAATTTCGAATTCTTTTTTCCAGCAGCTCTTTTGTTTTCCTATTTATATCTACCCTCTTACCATGATTCAAACTTTCAGTACTTGACGAAGAACTAATGCCAATTTCAGTTGAACCAGTCCAATTGGCCAAAGTCTCACGAGGAACAATTGAGAGAGAGGCATCCAAAACAACATCAATTGCTGCTGACTCATATTTGATAGCTCCTGGTCTGAGTACAGACCGATTATGAGAAAGTCGAGAACCAAGTTTGTTAAAAACACTATCCCTAACTTTTTCGATCGCACGCACGATAACAGCCTCAGTCTAAAAATATGACAAGAAAACACTCAACTAACCTTCATCTCTCCAAACTTGGTGACACCACACTCGGTGGGAAAAATATTTTCGCAAAACAAATCTGTGAGATTTAATTGACCTCCAATACATTCACGAGTAAGTTTTGCTTCATAAGACGTGCATTCTACATCTTGACGAGCTAATCTTTCGTAGCTAGGTTCCGAATCAATGTAATTATCTTGAGGAAAAGAGTGATCCAGGAATGCGTGGAAAATAGTCAAGTGCGACATCAAGTTGTGGGAATTTTATTTAATGCAGCCAGTTATGGTGGATCACATGCAAGAATCTAGTAGCTATTAACAGTATAAATCAACGTTAGTTTTGCACTGGCTTTAGAACGTAAATACATTCAAACAATTTCACGATAGCACTTTTTGTAAGAACTAGGGCAGGTTGATAATTTGAAAAAAAACTGCTACTATTAACCAAACACTTGAATATCAAGCATAATGGATGGTTTTTCTAGAAATTAAGGATTTAAAGGCAGTAAAGTTGTAGAGTCTAATACTTTCACGGCCTGTACTGACAAAACAGGTCGTCTCAAGCATTGTGAGCGCATGTTATACTAAAGTCGTTAGTTACAATAACGAAACGTTTGAAACAACTTTAGGGTCAAAAGTGAAACTCGATATACACGTATTGACAGGAGCATGACCAATAACATACTAATAAAATACGAATACCAAAGGGTCAATTAGTCGTATCACATGCACTTAAATATGAAAGAAAATTATGAAAGTAGCGACCGTTGTTCGATGACTTAATGATATTAAGCTCTGGTACATCATGCGGTCTGATGTATTACATCTGTTATCATTCTCGACAGACTATTTCAGAACATCTTGCAGAGTAGAAAAAACATGTACATGTCAGACCCAACAACAAGTGACCGGAATAATACCATAGTAAGCACGATCTTTGGAATTAAAATGAAAACCCGTACTTAAATTTTGACCTATCCACCTGACTGGGATATTATCGCAACACTAGGAACACTTTATAGACAAGTTGAACACTTGTTATTTACTTGAACACATAAATATGGGTACAAAGGGGCACCGAATGCATAAGCGCCACACACGTCACTTGAATTGTGTTTGGGCCACGATACTGCCCGGATGCCCAAACTGAAGCAGGTGGTATTCCTAAGGCGCCACACTCAGAGCGTTCGACCTAAAGGTCTGATCAACAAGGCAGTGGAGCAGATGCAGTCTTATAGCAGCCGGTGACCAACGATTGGTTCATACACCATTTGTCCCTTCAGGATACTGGAGCCCATATGTACTATCGGTTTGGAGTCAGGGTCTTCCACTCCCCTAGGTGGACTCTCAGTGTCCACCAACCCGGTTAAAGCACCGGAAATTCGCTTTTCGTCCTCTCAATTTTGTAAACAACACCCGCAACACGGGAAGGCAGTGAGTAGGACTTCCCTGGCAGTGGCTGTATACGCGTGGCTATGTGAGAGCATTTCGAGAGAGAGCTAATTCTCCCACCCTCGGCCGTACCAGGGCATTTGAGGACTTTCTTTTAAGGTGAGTACACGGGAAGGACCACACAATCTACTGATAAGAGTAGCGGTGCTTGCAATGGCAGTTCTTACATGATAAGCTTACTTATTAAAAGAAGACCAGGTTGCACGACAAAATACAAGAATACCTGTTAAAATAAGACTCACAGGCTCCAAACAGTGGTTTGATAAAGTGCTTCGTAAATGACAGAGGGACTTCAGTCTATGCACGAACTTCAGGTGGTGCTTAAATGACCTTAAGAATGTCCAACTACTTGCTGGAACTACACAAACGTTGTAGATTTGTGTGAAGAATCAGGACAAGGATTGACAATTGAATGTCAGGGTTAGGAATTGAAGTTGAGGCTTTCACTATGAACTGACATCATTTGGTGCCTAAATACCAATTAGCTTTATGGATAAATGAATTTTGGAACAAAATTCAAGACCTGATATATTCTTTCAGGTCGGTTCGTACATAAATTAACGGTCTCGCCCAAAATGACTAGTATAGTAACCCTAGAAATAAGCATTATACAAGCATGAGTTGAAGACAAAATAAAGGCTAGCAGAAAAATAATCGAACGGAAAAAACACTGAGATGAGGAACCGCAACCCTAGCTCCCCACACTATATTCGCTATATGAATACGACTTAAACGCACTACACGTAGTAACAGAATAACAGGAAATGATTTGTATAAATTTTAAAAATAACACAACAGTTGAACACTATATTAAACACGTTAAGCATTAACAAGTGAACGAATAACAGGCGATAGCTAAAGTATTTCACCTAATGATAAATGTAGCAACAGGTTTTGAGGTACGCGCGCGCTTTTCGAACAGGATGTTTAGTACTAACGTGATTTGCATTTATCAAACTTTTGCTGTGTTCTTACGCAACAAAAGTAATATTTCAGTTCTGAAGAATCTATTCTGAGCTATACGTTCGGTATGTTTTATTTTTTAGTTTCACCATATTTAATAAATAACTGTGGTTTTGCCTCAGCTTACTGTTCGTTTTTTTTTGTTTTTCACGTAAAGACTATTTCAGTTTATCTCACTCGTTTTTATCCGTTTTTTATCCATTTTTGTCCGTTTTCAGTGTGCTTTTTAGTGTTTTTTACGGTCTTAGGCTTTTTCAAGCGTCTATTACATAGTTTGCTTCAACTTAGTCATAAGAAACTCATGCAAACGTCCGGGATGCCGTTTCGCTGTTACAACTGGCATGCAATACGAAAACTGCAAAGGTTGGTTACACGAAGCGTGCACATATCTGACGGCAAATGCTTACAACAGACTCAGCAAGTCGGACCAAATGTGGGTATGTGTCACATGCAGCACGGACACTGCAGTCTTTGCTGAGTAACATCATCGTCCTACTGACAGGTCTGTGGATCAATTTGTCAGCAAACTTGGATAACGACACTAAAAAAACGGGTAAACAAACAAGAGCGCGCAACGAGCACAAGATTAGGGATGTCGACAGGTATACCATCGATGGAGCATCCTTCAGCACTAATGATAACGTGTTGAAGCTCAGCACCATCATTACGTCGACGGTATTAGACTCTCTAAGTAAACTCGGGTCTCCCAGCTCAGGGTTCCCGAACACAACAGTGGTTCCCCAAAACCCTGTAGATGATTTGACCTACGCTAGCGGAGCCCAGAAGAACCAGGTGCCACTGCCTAAGCTGAGCATCCCAAGTATTGTTGTACGGAAAACAACTGGTGATTTGGTCCACAGTCAACCCCCAAGAATGTTCGTCCGGTCACTAAGGAGCCCAAAATTCAAAAACGTGCCTTGGCCTCCAAACAACAAGGTATTAAACCTGAAACCATCAGGAAACTTGGTAAATCAACAACAGTTCGCGGCGATTCTCTCATAATCATGAATCTCATTGAAAATCCTGACCTTCCTCTCAGTCTGCAGGACAAAAATGACAGGATGCTGTGAGGTGAACTGAACAAGAAGCTCGAACTTCCCAGAATAGAGCCTTTGACGGTCACCCGGCTCACTCGAGGAAAGGATTCTAAGCATCTAAATCACCCGAGGCTTCTTCGAGTAACACTTAAGAATGCTACCGACGTAGGGGACGTCTTGCTAGCAAGTCACTTGCTGAAATCCGATGGTAACGTAAGAATATTGCCCGACACACCGTACTCTGAGCGCAATATCATACGGAACACCCTTAAAGAATCTCGCGAGAAGTTTTTTCCCTGAAGAAACATAATTGTGCAAGGTATACCGGAAAATACGGACCCTACTCAATCAAGTTCTGACATCAGAGAATGTAAATTCATTAAACAGTCCTTGAGGTTCGAACACATACTGACTCAGCATATGACGAGCTAGCCAAGAAGGATAGTGACCCTAGACCCCGTCTAATGAAGACAATATTCCCATCCCCCCACATGGCGGCTGCAACTCTGGAAGCATTTCGTGCAAACAGATGTCGTCTGCCACCTGGAATCCACATGCACCCGAATTGGGCATACGAAGCTAGGACCAAGCACAAAGGCAAGATGGAGCTGACCATTTCACTTGTGGACTGTCTAGACCATAAAAAATACGTGTAAAGGACATGGCCTACCACCTTGGCAAACCTCATATAGGTAGGCTACCTGTCCATTCACGTAAGGCTCATACAGACAAACAGGACGAAGCTCACGCGTTCCAAATGGAAAACATAAACTGCTTATATATGAACGCCGCGAGTCTACCAAACAAATTGGATGAATTACGTGGACTTAGCAACGTTGATAAGGCCCATCTGATAGGAATATCTGAAACCTGGATATCTTCTCAGTTCTCGGACCAAGAGTTAGCATTGCCTGGGATGTCTTTGTTCCGCAACGACAGAAAATCAGGAATTGGGGCGGAGTAGCCCTATACATACGTCCTTGCATATCTTCTTGGAGGTGCACCAAGTTCACAACCTTGAATTTAACAATCTTGAGGAATCCATATGGTGCTCTGTAAGATTGTCAAGTACTTCGAAGTGTCTAGTCGGAGTCATTTACAGGAAGCCAACTGCCGACATCGAGTACGATAGTCGTATGCTGGAAGGACTATCCCGCTCTACTCGTCTCGGTTTCACACACATCCTGATTCTAGGGGACTTTAATTTCCCTAGAGTCAACTTCGCGGATCACACGTATATTGGAGGTGATAATTCAATTGAAGCCCAGTTCTTCAACCTCGTCGATGACTTGGGATTATATGAAAATTTGAGGTCGGCAACTCGTTGGAGAAACAGTCAGACACCATCGCGCTTAGACTGTGTATTCAAAAACGAAGAATTCCTAGTTGACAACCTCTCAATCCTTGCTCCCCTGGGAAAAGCGATCATGCCGTCATAGCCTTCAGTTTTGTCAGCAAAACTAAGCTAAGCTATCCCACCAATAACTTGCGTTGGAATTTTAAACGGTTGAATGTGCCAGCTCTACACGACTATCTACAACGGGTGGTTTGGGATGTTCACCCCCAACTCGATGTGGACGGGCATTGGGAATTCTTACTGCACACGCTACAAATCATTCAGTTCCTCAAACGGTTCCCAAAAGCTTCGAGCCACATACAATAATCAAGAAATGTACTCTTCGCCTGCTAAGCCGAAAAAGGCACTGTTGGGCAGAATACAGACGAACTGACAACGACGGAGCGTA